TGAGTTGGGGGGGAGGGCTGGGAGGGGAGGTGGGGCTGGTGAGTTGGCGGGGGAGGGCTGGGAGGGGAGTGGGGCTGGTGCGTTGGGGGGGGGGGGTTCCTGAGCCAATGGCAGAGCTCTGTTCTCGCGTGGGGGGGGGTTCTGGATGTGGCTCACCCTTCACTCCCGTCTCCCCAGAACGTGGCCAGGCAGAATAACGACAGCGACTGTGGAGCCTTCGTCCTGCAGGTGAGCGGCGGCTGGGGCTGGGGAGGAGCCGGGGGCTGCAGCGGTTCCTCGCTGCGCGCTCCCCCGCCATAGCCCTGAGCTCCCCCTGTGCTCACTGACAGCCCCCCGCCACTGGGCCCCCCCCGACCCGCCATCCCCACCCATAGCGGAGGCTGCAGGGGTGCCATTAGCATTTTTCCCCCCACAATGCATCTTCCCCATCAGATTGCCGGGCAGTGTCTCGCTCCAACCCCACCGGTGATGGGCCGGGAACTGGGCTGAGACCCGACAAGCTCCCCTCACCGAAGACTGGGGCCGGGTGGGAGCCGGCGCCCCCTAGAGGGGAAAGCTTTTCTCTTTGCCCCTGGTTAACTCTGCTTCTCTCCCCCCTCCTCCCCCCGCAGTACTGCAAGTTCCTGGCGCTGGGCCGGGCGTTCAGCTTCACCCAGCAGGACATGCCGAAGCTGCGGCGACAGATGTACAAGGAGCTTTGCCACTGCAAACTCAGCGTGTGAGTCGCCCGCCCACACACCCACCTCTTCCCTTCCGGACGGGGCCACGCTGACACCGCCTCCTCCCCCCGCTCCTGGGGGGAGCACCCCGCACCCCAGACGGACGGGCAGCGGGAAGGGGCATTAACTCTGTAGCATTGGAACTGTTCAAACCGGGCTGAGGGAGGCAGCTAATCCCGGCTCCTCCCGCCCCTGCCAACCAGACTTTTGGGGGACCTTTTTTTACTTGTGGGGGGAGGCATCCCCCTCTCCCCCTGGTTCTGTATTATTTTTTTCATATTTAAACCCAGTTTCCCTTGTTACATTTTGGGGCGGGGGTGGGTGGGGCACGGTAAATACACCCCCTACCCCTGAATTTTGGGGACACACCGGCTTTGGGGGGGGGGGAGGAGGGGAGGAGCCATTTCTACCCAGAGCGGGTGCGGGGGGCGGAGGGGAGATGAGGTTGGAATCTCCACCCCCCACCTTTTCTTCTCCCGGGGGGGTTATTTGTGTTAGTGAAGTTGTATGTTGGGGGGTGGGGTGGGGGGACAAGTTTATACACTGGGCTGTGAAATGAGAAACAAGCATTTTTTTTTTATATATATATATATATTATATATATATAATGCGGCGGCAAATTGTTCTGGGCAATAAACTTCCTTTCTTTGGAGAATCTTCTGGGTTTGAAATGTGGGTCATGCGGGGAAGCGGCGTCCTTTCCCCTGGGTCGCCCCCTCCGAGCGGGGCCGATTTTCTCCCTGTGTTGGCCGTTGGAGGAAGAATGGCCGCTAGGGGGCGCCAGGGTGGGGAATGGGACACGCCTCCTCCCCGAACGAGATTGGGGTCCCCCATTGTGTCGGATGCCGCACAGACACCCACCCCTGCGAGATCGGGGTGCCCACAGTGCTGAGTACAGCACGGACCCCTTCCCCCTGAAATCAAGAAGGAAAGCGAATCCAAGCCAAGGCTGCGCTGAACTCCTTCGGAGTTTTAAACAACTAACAAACTCCGCCGAAGGGCAGGACTTGGTGGTCATGGGGGACTTCAACGACCGCCGCGCCGTCTGTCGGGAAAATAATGTGGAAGGGGACGGCTGATCCTTCGCCGGCGGGGCCGAGGGGCCCTGGAGTCCGTTTTTTCATTCAGAAGGTGGAGAAAGCGAGTCGGGGCTGATTTTGACCAACGGGGAGGAGCGGGTTGAGAATTTGAAGGTGGACGATGTGATCGAGTTCGTGATTCTAAGGAAGGGTAGGACGGAAGACCACATAATAAAGACAATGGATTTCAAGGAGGGAAACTTTAGCAAACTCAAGGAGGTGGTAGGTAAGCTCCGGTGGGAAGCAAGTCCAAATTCGAGAGAGTTGGCAGTTTTTGGAGACGTTATGAAGGGCACAAAAGCAAACTATCGTAGAAGTATGGCAAGTGACCACCCTGGCTTAACCGGGAGATCTTCAAGGATCTGAAACACAAGAGTGGAAACTAGGTGAAATGACAAAGGATGAATATAAACCAATATGAAGGGACAAAATTAGAAAGGCCAAGGCCCAAAATGAGATCAAACTAGCTAGAGACATAAAGGGTAACAAGGAAACATTCAGCAAATCCATTAGAAGCAAGAGGAAGACCAAGGAGGGGGTAGGCCCGTTACTCAACGAGGGGGGGAACGATAACCGAAAACGTTGAAATGATGGAAGTGCTAAATGACTTTTTTGTTTGTTTTTCACCAAAAAGTTTCACGGTGATTGGACGTCCCGCAGAGCGAACACAAGGTAGGAGCAGAGGCTAGAATAGGGAAAGAACAAGTTTAAAATGACTCAGACGTGTTAGATGTCTTCAAGGCATCAAGGGCCTGATGAAATCATACAAGATCAGGGTTGGAAGGGACCTCAGGAGGTATCTAGTCCAACCCCCTGCTCAAAGCAGGACCAACCCCAACTAAATCATCCCAGCCAGGGCTTTGTCAGGCCGGGCCTGAAAAACCTCTAAGGAAGGAGATTCCACCACCTCCCTAGGGAACCCATTCCAGTGCTTCACCAACCCAGACCTCCCCCACTGCAACTTGAGACCATTGCTCCTTGTTCTGTCATCTGCCACCACTGAGAACAGCCGAGCTCCATCCTCTTTGGAACCCCCCTTCAGGTAGTTGAAAGCAGCTATCGAATCCCCCTCATTCTTCTCTTCTGGAGACTAAACAATCCCAGTTCCCTCAGCCTGTCCTCATAAGTCATGTGCCCCAGCCCCCTGATCATTTTCATTGCCCTCTGCTGGACTCTCCAATTTGTCCACATCCTTTCTGTAGTGGGAGGCCCAAAACTGGACACAAGACTCCAGGTGTGGCCTCACCAGTGCCGAACAGAGGGGAATAATCACGTCCCTCGATCTGCTGGCAACGCTCCTACTAATACAGCCCAAAATGCTGTTGGGCTTCTTGGCAACAAGGGCACACTGCTGACTCATATCCAGCTTCTCGTCCACTGTAATCCCTGGGTCCTTTTCTGCAGAACTGCTTCCTAACCAGTCGGTCCCCAGCCTGTAGCAGTGAATGGGATTCTTCCTTCCTAAGTGCAGGACTCTGCACGTGTCCTTGTTGAACCTCATCCGATTTCTTTTGGCCCAATCCTCCAATTTGTCTAATCCCTACCCTCCAGCGTGTCTACCTCTCCCCCCAGCTTAGTGTCATCTGCGAACTTGCTGAGGGTCCAATTAATCCCATCATCCAGATCATTGATAAAGATGTTGAACAAAACCAGCCTCAGGACCGATCCTTGGGGCACTCCGCTTGATCAGTGGCTGCCAACTAGACATGGAGCCATTGATCGCCACCCCTTGAGCCCAACAATCTAGCCAGCTTTCTATCCACCTTATAGTCCATTCATCCAGCCCATACTTCTTTAACTTGCTGGCAAGAATACAGTGGGAGACCGTATCAAAAGCTTTGCTAAAGTCAAGATATACCACATCCACTGCTTTCCCCATATCCACAGAGCCAGTTATCTCCTCATAGAAGGCAATCAGGTTGGTCAGGAATGACCTGCCCTTGGTGAATCCACGTTGACTGTTCCTGATCACCTTCCTCTCCGCCAAGTGCTTCAAAACAGATTCCTTGAGGACCTGCTCCATGATTTTTCCGGGGACTGAGGTGAGGCTGACTGGTCTGTAGTTCCCCAGGTTCTCCTCCTTCCCTTTTTTAAAGATGGGCACTACATTGGCCTTTTTCCAATCGTCCGGGACCTCCCCCGATCGCCACAAATTTTCAAAGATAATGGCCAATCACATCAGCCAACTCCCTCAGCACCCTCAGATGCACTAGATCTGGACCCATAGACTTGTGCATGTCCAGTTTTTCTAAATAGCCCTTAACCTGTTCTTTCACCACGGAGGGCTGCTCACCTCCTCCCCATACTGTGTTGCCCAGCGCAGCAGTCTGGGAGCTGCCCTTGTCTGTGAAGACCGAGGCCAAAAGAGCATTGAGTACTTCAGCTTTTTCCACATCATCTGTCTCTAGGTGGCCTCCCCCATTCAGTACAGGTCCCACACTTTCCCTGACCTCCTTCTTGTTGCTAACATAAGTCCATCCTAGACCACTCAAGGAGCTGAATGACGAGATAGCTGGGCCATTGGCGATTATCTTCGAAAGTCATGGAAGACGGGAGCAATTCCAGAGGGGCAATCTAAGGATTACCCAGGGAATTAAAGACCAGTCAACTTAACTTCTGTACCCGGAAAGATAACAGAGCAAAGAATTAAGCAACTCATTTACCAACACCTAGTAGATAATAAGGTGATCAGTGACAGTCAGCATGGATTTAGAGGTTTTTAAGGCCCAGCTTGACGGAGCCCGGACTGGGATGATTTAGTTGGGGTTGGTCCTGCTTTGAGCAGGGGGTTGGGCTAGATGACCTCCTGAGGTCTCTTCAACCCTAATCATCTTCTGTGAGCCATTGAAGAGGGGTGAAAAAAAAGCGGTAAGAATGATTAAAAAACCCGCCTTTGACTGAGAAACTCAAAGAGCTCGATCGATTTTGCTTGGCAAAGAGAAGGTGAAAGGGTGACTTGATCGCTGTAAGTATCTACCTGGGGGACAAATACTGCATAACGGGCTCTTCCGTCTAGCAGAGAAAAGTCTAACACCATCCAATGGCTGGAAGATGACGGTAGAGATTTGCAGGGGGTTGGACTTCTACCCCGACAGTCTATTATTCTGATTTGTCAAGAACAAATCGCAGCAAACCAACCTGACGGCTTTCTTTGACAGGGTAACAAGCCTTGTGGACAGGGCTGCCGCCATAGACGTGGTCTATCTTGACGTTAGTAAGGTTTTCGATACTGGCTCATGTGACCTCGTAAAGTAGGGAAATGCAACCGCGCCGGAGCTACTATGAGGTGGGTGCAGAACTGGTTGGAAAACCGTTCCCAGAGAGGCGGTATCAGCAGTTCACAGTCATGTTGGGAGGATATAACAAGTGGGGGTCCCGCAGGGATCTGCAGGGTCCGGTTTGGTTCAATCTCTTCATCAATGAGTTAGATAATGGCATAGAGAGAACACGTCTAGTTTACAGTCGCCACCCAAGCTGGGAGGGGTTGCAAGTTCTTTGGAGAATGGGCTTAACATTCAAAATGATGCGAAGAACTGGGCTGAAGGAAAGAGGATGAAATTCAACTAGGACTGATGCATGCAGCGTACCCCACTTCGTAAGGAATAATCGGTTACACAAAATGGGCACTGACTGCCTAGGCAGGAGTACGGTGGAAAGAGATCTGTGGGGGTCTCCCCCTGCTCTAACCACTAGCCCCCGCTCCCCTCCCCGAGCCAGGAAAGAACCCAGGCATCCAGCGATTCAGCACACTCTTCATTTACCAGCCTGGCCCCGTTTGGGGCACTGCGGGGTCACCTGTCAGCTAGACAAACGCCAGCGCTACCACGCAGCTGGAGACGGGCGGTTTTCGTGTCTCACGTAACGTTAATGGCCTGGGACAGGCGATCTGAAAACCGCATCACCTCGCCCAAGGGGCTGCGATGCATCGGTTTTCACCCAAACGGGCTGGAAGCGTCTAAACACAAATGCACTGGCTTTGGAAATATTTCACCCAAGCGGGGGTGTGGGGGCTGTGGTTATTTCCTGAACTTTTCTGCCTTGGCGTTCAGCAGATGCCTGGCGGCCTCTGAGTGCATTTGGCCCGTGGGCGGTGGCTAACCCACCCTCCCAATTTATAATCCATCCATGGGCCCGGCCGGAGCAGGCAGCCCAATGGTGGCCCACTGTAATCACCTGGCGCTAAATCTGCCGGCAAGCCAGGGACTCGGTTTCTAACCTAGCTGGGGTGGGCAGCCATCTCTGTGGGGATACAGCAGGTGAACTGACGGCTTCCAGGATGGGGGGGATGGTGGCCAGTAGCCAGGCCTCGCTTGTGTCCTTCTTCTCAGCCATCAGCTCGGGGACACGCGTTACCCAGAGTTGGTCGCTCCTTCCCACCCCGTGACAGAGATGCGGCCAAGCCCGTGGGTTCTCCATTAACCGGGGGGCAGGGATAGCTCAGTGGTTTGAGCATTGGCTGCTAAACCCAGGGTTGTGAGTTCAATCCTTGAGGAGGCCACCTAGGGATCTGGGGCAAAATCAGTACTTGGTCCTGCTAGTGAAGGCAGGGGGCCGGGACTCAATGACCTTTCAAGGTCCCTTCCAGTTCTAGGAGATAAGATATCTCCATTAATTTTTTTTTTAAATGCTCGGGGAAGGGCAGCTCATTCCAGGAATTCAAAGGCACGGGCCTAATTTATAAAGCCGTCAGCAGACCAATCCAGGGTGACACACGCACCCCTTTCACCACCCCCACCCCCCAGCGGCTGTTAGGTCCTCTCTGCTCTGGGCCACTAACTGACCCCGGAGCTGGTAACGGGAGCAGGGTGAGAAACGCCAGCGGGCGGGTCACCGATCTCAGCTCCATTCCCCTTTCCCTAGGGGGACGCACCACGAGGCTGGTGGGAGCCGGTCCCAGGGTCGAGTTGGTTCTGGGGGGTGTGACTGTAGTCTGGCCGGGAAGGGGGAAGCTGTTGGAGGAGGGAAACTGAGGCGGGCAGAGGCACCTGTGGAAACCCAGGGTGGAGAATAAGTTGGGGGGGCCCTCTGGTAAGTCACAAGCCTTGGGGAGGGGAACAGATGGGGGAGGCTCTCAGCAAAGCTGGCCCCAGCTGAGAGGGGGCCCTGGCTGGGACAGGGCTGGTAGGAGGGGATCCCATGGGGGGCAGGGCTGTGGCTTGGGGGACCCTGTGGCTGGGGGGTGCTGGTAGGAGGGGATCGTCGAGGGGTGGGGCTGGTGGCGTCGGGTGGGGCTTGGGGGAGGG